CGAAGCGAAACAAAATCATTTTCATTGAATTATGATAAAGGATATATTCAGTGGGATACATTTAATATCCTACCCTGGGGACATAAAGATATTCCATTATAATAATGAGCAAGTCAATCACTGAAAAACAAATACAAGACTTTTATTTAGACCCCGAAATAGGATTAAGTGCTGTATCACCATTCACGGCCAAATTAAAATCTCTTGGCTATAAGGTCACACAAAAACAAGTTAAGGAAGCCATCGAAGCAACTGAAGTCAATCAAACATTTTCTCAAAAAAAGAAAATCAATAGAAAAGAATTATTTCCTATTTACGGTAAAGACCCTAACAAGAATTATGTTCAGACTGATTTAGCATTTATTCCCGAATTCAAAAAACAAAATAGAGGCTACTCCGTTATATTGACGGCTATCAATATCAATACACGAAAGGCTTATGCATATCCATTAAAATCAAAAACTGTTAAAGACAAAAATAACAAAAACATTGATTCTGCTGAAGGAATAATTCCTGCTTTTAAAAAGTTAATAAAAGATTCAAAAATGAATGTATTGACTACGGACAATGGTGTAGAATTTACAAATAAATCTATGAAAAAATTATTAAAGGACAACAATATTGAGCATTATTTAAATGAAACCGAAGACCATACTACTATGGGTATGATAGAAAGATTCAATAGAACATTAAAATTGAAATTTAAAAAAATAGAAAAAAGTAAAGACACCGTAAACTGGATTGATTATTTGGATACTATTGTCAAAAATTATAATAGTACACAAAATTCTGCAAATATCGATAAATCAACTCCTGATAATATGAACCTAACAAAGACCATCAGAAATAATTTATTGAAAAGGAATAAATTGACTAAGCTTCTTGAAAAAATAGATATAAAACCGGGTGATAAAGTTAGGATTAAAATTAAAACTAAAACGTTTGATAAAGAATCTCAACAATGGTCGACAAAAATATATAAAGTAAAATCTATGAAAGGATTGAGTTATATCATCGAAGACGGTAAAGAAACTTTGGCACGTCGATATAAACCACGAGAATTATTGGAAGTCCAAGGTAACAATTCTAATAATAAGAAATCCAGTGATGAACCTACCGTTTCTGAATTAGTTTCTAAACAAAATAAACAAGAAAGAACTCTTAGGAAAGAAGGTGTCTCATCTTCTAATCGAATATCTAAAAGGACAAGAAGTCAAAATAAAAATAATAAAGATAATGAAACGGAAATTGATTTACGATGATTTTTATCGATTGTATTATATATATTGTTATGGTAAGAGCTAATCAAACACAGGCTCAACGAAGGCTGAATAATAATGTTTATTGTGGATATAAAGACCCTACACCTCAAGGTCGTCAATTTGGAAATAAAATTCAATGTAAAGCTCGTCATCAATTAAGGCGGTATGGAAGAATTTTAAGATTACCTCATCCTGCGGATAGACAACAAAATAGACGAAACAATTAATATATATGTAATATTATAAAATATATGCGAAAGATATTGACTGATGATATTGTCAAACAATATTGTCTAAACGAATTAGGCTTTAGAAATGCTGCATCTAATAAATCAATATTTCATGGATACTCTAAATTAGCTTCTAACAATTATGCTATGACCGCTCCTTCTCAAAATAGTGTTGAATTCTATACTTCTATTTCCCAAAGTCCTTTGATAAATTCAGCTGATTTGATTCAAAATTTAAAAAGAAGTGATGTCAATGTTTTTGTTCCGGGAAAATATACAAGAGCGGACAATTTACAAAGGTTTGCAGATTTAAGTGAATCTCCTGAAAAAATAGAAGAAGATTTAAGTGAATCTCCTGAAAAAATAGAAGAAGATTTAAGTGAATCTCCATTTCCTTATCCATTTCCTGAAAAAGGCATTTCAACACCTGAAAATCAAGTTGAATCTGGACCTTCAAAAAGACCTATTATGAATCCTATGCATTATTCTACAATGTCCCCGTTAGGTAAACGATTATTCATGTCGAATATGCAAAATCGACCTTATTCTCCAACGCAAAGCGGACTTGTAAATTTGCTACCTTTGATGGAAGATGACAATAATAATGATGATGATGATGATGATACTAGTGGTGTTGAATATATGGGTGTAGAAGTAAGTCCACTTGCAACAAGTCCGCAAATATTTACAAGAGGACAACGTGCAAGTAGAGCTAATCAACCATAAAAATATATATATTAATATATACACATTTATGACTCGTGCTGAATGGAACGAAACATTAAAAAAATTTGCCAAAGAATACCATTCCAAAAAAGGCACGAAACCTCGTAAAAAATATTCCAAAAAGAAAAGGTTAAATAAATCTGCAAATATTCAATCACCACAAGTGACATCACGAGCTATTGCAAATTTACCAACAAATAATAACAACCGAGGACCTGCAAGATTTCCTTTTAATTTAATTGTGTGAATTTCTTCGGTTTTTTCAGGGGGACAAAAAACCTCAAAAAAATAAAATCCACTTAAAGAGTGTAACTCAATAGTGTAAACAAAGCAAGAATGAAAACTACATTCAATACTCTTCCTCTTGAAGTTCAAAACAAGATTTTCTTTATGAAACATCAAATTGAGATGAAAGATGTATATGAAGAATTGCTTTTATTACATTCATTCAAATTATACAAAAATAAGGTAAACAATCAACTTAATGAAATGACTTCTTCGAAAGTCGATAAATGGTATGAAATTTACAAATGGCATTTGAGAAGAGTGTTTGATTGTAAATATGATGATTTGGATGCTATAATTACATTTTGTGAAGAAGAAGAATATGATGATGAGTTGTATGATATTGTAAAAAACTTAGTAAAGATGCAAGAAGAATTGGATATTGAAATTGATATTGATATTGACGATATTCATGATACTTTACAATGTGCTTTAATGATTAGAGGTATCGAAGACGATGATTCCGAAAGTATTGTGTTTGATAGTGATGAGGAAAGTAATGAAGATAGTGAAGAAGAAGTTTCACATATAATAATAGGAACGTTTTAGAATGATTTAAGAACAATTAACATATATCTTATTGAAACATTAATTAATTTACTTTTTATTTACTTTCAATTTTATCTTTATCTTTTTATTGTAGATTTTCCAATTTATTTTTTATTGTAGATTTTTTATTTATTTTTTATCGTACTCACATTTAATCACGTAATTTATTCACTATTTATTACGTAATTATTTCTTGTATTTATTATTTAGTTATTTTGTTTATATAAATGGTACGCTATAGTCGGTACTATAGTAGTCCGGTGGATTATATAGGGTTCCTTTGGACGGGGGCGCGTCTATCTACGCTTGATCGAGCATATTGCTTGCTGTATCCTGTACTGGTTGCTTCTGCACTTGAAAAGGCCCAAGTCCACAATTGTATACCAAGTGTCCACCTACATATAACCGTCTTCGGTCGCTACGGAAGTGAGTCTCTAGAGCAAATATGTCATATGTACAAATGACAGATCAAGTGAAACGTCAATATGATGTAAAACTTTCAAATAACTTAAACAGATTATGTAGATTATATGTATAATAATGAGCATCGAATTTTACAAATCGACACTTAACATATTGAACGATAATCATAAAACATTTAACGGTAGTATCGAGACAATTGAATATCCAAAAGATGATATAACCACGAAATATAAAATGTATGCAACTAATCAACATACTCATACCGGTCGCAAATATGTCGCTCTACCGACACATGTACAACTGACCGATGAAGTGAAACGTCAATATAATATAATGTCTACCGAGTGACCAAGTTTGTTTCTAATCCCAACACGCTCCGTTAGTCTGATTTTCTAAAAAAAAATATAAAAAATATTCATGTCTCTAGAAAAAAATAATAAATCAATCAATACAATTTCAAAAAAATATTTTGTCAACATAGAAATAAAAAAAAACATAAAACTTTTCAGACCTCGCCGGCCTTCCATGATCACTAATTTCATTTGTTACGTATACTCGTTTGATCATTGAATTCATTTGTTACTTTGTTGAACAAAATCCAGATAAAGAGTATTAAAATAATCCACATAAAGACTTGAGATCATTTCTGAATAATCCACATAAAGACTACTTTCACATAGGGTAAACAAGCGAACAAGACATACAAACTACTTACTGTCTTACAAAGCAATCAATACATTCAATACTTCCTATTCTCTTTCTCAAGAAAGAATAAGAATGGCTGCTTTCAACATGAAGATCCGTGATGTATCTATTGGAGTCGAAATGGGACTCTGGGAAGATGATTGTGGAAACCCATGTGTCTATCTCAAAAACCCCGATGATGAATATTTGTCTTGTCATGAAGATGGAAAACATATATTCTGGCATGCGATCGAAGATGATGATGCATGGAATTGGGAAATGTGGTATCCTGAATACACCAACTCTGGAGTCTTTTTGAAATCTTACCATGATACTTATATGACCTCTGATGGTGAAGAGGATGGAAGAATGTGGCAATGTGATGAACATTCTGATGTCTATGTTGAAATGACCAAGGCGGAATATGATGAGTTGATGAAGGGTGATAGTGATATTGAAGAAGAGACTGATGAGTCTGATAAAGAAGATGATGAACCTATCAAGAAGAAAACATAAAAAAATGAGAAGAAGTCTGATGATGACAAACCCAAGAGGACGATTGACCCCGACGTTCACCGGAAGGGTGCGATAGCCCGAAAGGTCAAGACCCTCATTGAGTCTGAGTGTAAGGATGAGCTTGATGGATTGAAAGGTAAAGAGAAGACTGCCAAGAAGACTGAACTCTACCAAAAACACAAAAAAGAGAACAGCGATCTTTTCAAGAAGTTGTACAAGAAGGCTGAGAAGGAAGCGTAAGTAAACACACAAGTCTAGGGTGTAAATATTAGAAGAGTTTGTAAATATTTGTACAGATTAAAAAAACTTTAAAAAAAACTTATCTACTCTCATAGCTTAACGGGTAAAGCGTTTGTCATATGACAATCAGATGTGGGTTCAACTCCCACTGAGAGTTTTATGAAAAAAGATTCTTGTCCGATTAAAAAAACAAATATCAATTGATAAGATTTCAAAAAAAATATTTTGTCGATATAGAATCTAAAATGAAAATACATTTCATCTCGTCGGTGACCAATTCTTTGATTCTTTGTTACATCTGAAACGAGTCTCTTGTAAATCTTTTTGAATTCATTGACGTAGACTATGTTATCATTTCAAAACTTCAGATACAAATGTATCTATACCGTAACCACTTAATAATACCATGCCAATAATCATACAAAGTATTCCAATTGTCTTATTATTATCTTTGTAGGTTTGATATCCATATACAAAGAACAAAATACCAAAAAAGGAAAATAGCATTTGAGATATCGTTATACCGATACCTGCTGAAAATGATTTCTTTATTATATTCATATCGAACCACTTTTGATCCCCTTTTCTAATTGTCATAATATTACCTATAAAATATTATAGTAGTAGTCTCTGAAAGTTTCTTTTCAAAACCAAAAAGAATGATTGATAGTATTCATTTGGGTCGCCGTACCTTATAGCATACCATCGAACTTAATTATCGTTCCATCGTCCTTCGGTAGTCTGATCTTTGAATCCATTTGAAATCAATATCATAGAAAGATTCTTTTTGATTTTGAAAAGAAACTCTTGATAATATTCATTAGTCCTTTCAGTCGCCGTACCTTATAGCATAGCATCGAATTCAAATATCGTTCCATTGTGCTTCGGTAGTCTGATCTTTGAATCCATTTGAAATCAATATCATAGAAAGTTTCTTTTTGATTTTGAAAAGAAACTCTTGATAATATTCATTAGTCCTTTCAGTCGCCGTACCTTATAGCATACAATTGATCTAAACAAATTTTGAATCGCCGTTCCATCGTCCTTCGGTAGTCTGATCTTTGAATCTAATCGAAATCAATAACATAGAAAGTTTCTTTTCAAAATCAAAAAGAAACTCTTGATAGTATTGAGTAGTCGTTCGGTCGCCGTACCTTATAGCACACCATCGAATTCAAATATCGTTCCATCGTCCTTCGGTAGTCTGATCTTTGAATCTAATCGAAATCAATAACATAGAAAGTTTCTTTTCAATATAAAAAAGAAACTCTTGATAGTATTGATTAGTCCTTCAGTCGCCGTACCTTATATGCCCATGATTCTGATTAATCACGGTGAACAAGCAGATACCGACAGAGGAACGAAAAAGGTGGCACTTTAGGTCATATTCCCATTATCTTATATATATCCATAATATGACCCAATCTGCCACCTTTTTTCAATGAAAATGTTACGAAAATTAAAAGGGCAAACACGTAGAAGTTTTAATTTCTAAGCGGACACCTACATCACATACGCTTAGCCAGTCCTTCATGAGTATTAGATAAAGTTTCTTTTGAAAATCAAAAAGAAACTCTTGATAGTATTGATTAGTCCTTCAGTCGCCGTACCTTATAGCATACCATTGATACAAAGTAATGATAAGTAATATTCAAAAGATCTCAAGGTAAGGAATGCCTAGGTAGATGACCTTGATAATTGAAATGAATGGAATGTGAATTGGAACGAAACATATTCGAAAATATTTTAAATCTAAGATATATAATGAGGAGGTTTTGAAAAAGTTTATGATTCGGCCCTAAAGATTTGAAAAATAATTAATTATAAAATTTTAGGGCGGAAAATTTACTGAGTTGCGACGAGAAAAAATCCATCAAAAAGAAAGAAAAAAAACCAATTAGGTAAACAGTATATTGTTAACAGTATAGTTACGCTTGCATCAAACGCCAGAGTCGATACATGTACCGGTCTGAAATGTTCTTTAATCAAAGAACCCGTGACATCGATCGCCGTGCCTGATTTGAAATTCTCTTCAAAGTTTAATGAATCAAACTGTAAATCGACATCGACCGTTTTGAAAATGATTGATTTTCTATTGGACGGTTGACGAGTTCTTGTTAAGGCTTCTATAGAAAGATCGACTTGATAATCAATATTCTCTTCAAGATTGTTCAAAGTCAATATGAAATCTTTCATTTCAAAAGCGATTTGGTCATTGATGTTCGCGGTACCTTTGAGTTCACCCGTTTCAATGTCGGTTACTTTGATGAATACATCTTGAGGTACTTTGGTTTCATCGGAAAGATTACTGATCAACACATTAGCGAATATTTCGGTGACTTCCAATATTTGTAAGTCTATATTAGCAGGCGACACATCGATAAGACCAAATATCTCTTTTGCTTCTTGTTGTCGGTACTGTGTCATGACAGTCAGGTTTCCTTCCTTGATGGGTAAGTGTGTGGAATCAATATTTGCGACATTTATGGAAATGTTCGCTTTGTCGATGTGTATATCTGCACGTTCTATGTTTGCTATGATATTTCCTTCTACAAATACTTCAAGTAATGTAATGTCACTTTTTGAAACCTTCTTTTCAAAACAATCGATGGACACTTTCACCGTGTCACCTGTGGTGAAGAATTTAAATTCATCAAAATCAAAAACTTGAAATCCATTCAACACGAAAGTGGTGAACACTTTGTCGGATATCGCATCTTGTGTATCTTTTCCAAACACGTAAACCGTGTATATACCACCATCTGTAAAAGGTACACTGATACCCGAAGAGACATACGTGTGTAAATCAAAATTAAAAGCAAGCTTTCCGGATTCCACCTTTGCGACAGATGACGACGGTGTGAAATCTGGTATAGAATCATTTGAACCTTCCACAATAAATGCGAAAATGTCGATATCAAATCGATGTTCTTCCGATATGTTTCCAGATACGTTAACGAAAGTTCCTGTGTTTCCTTCAAAGACTAGTGGTGACGCTTCGAGAGATACCAAAGCGGTGTCTGTCGTGAACCGTTTGATGTATTGTGCACTTACATTAGCTCGACTGTTGATATCTGTAATGATGTCATAGGAAACATTTTCTTCAAGGTTTCCAGTGGGGATGTCTATAAATACATAGTTTTCGGGTTGCCCGCGGACAAGATCGTCATGTCGATGTGTTTTAATAATATTTCCATCACCGGATGCCTTCTTGATGGTAAAGGTGACGTCATGTGGAATGTTTGTTTTGTCTTGTAAGTTTCTATATCGAACTTTAGCACTCGTGAAAGATATATTTGAGGCATCAAACTCTATATTCGCAGGTGTGATATCGAGGATACCTTGATTTGTGCTTTGAATTGCCTTTTGTTCTTTATATTGAACGTTAACTTTGAAAGGTCCTTCTTGCTCGTGTGATAGTATATTTGCGAACCGAACGACAAAACTTTTGTGATCGGTTGTTATAAATTCGTATGCAGTGTTGAAGACTACGCTGTCGACTATGATGTTTGCTCGCAAATCATTTATATTTGTTTGTAAATGTGTTTCGAAGTGAGCATTGATGTTTGCATGATTTGTCACATGTATGGAATCAGAATCGATCAACACGTCTTCTTTTACACGATTGATATCAATGTTTGCGGATATCGTTTGTGTTTTCATACGAGGAACTAATGGATCCTTTGCAAAAAGCGATACGGTAAACAAGCTTCCAATATTTGCAATCAAATTATCAGGTTGTGAAGTATGGATCGTGAAGTCGAATGAAGTGCGACCAGATGGAATGATGATCGTTTTATCAATATCGTCCGCCGTACTGGTAGATTCTACATTGAAGATAGACACCACGACATCCGTATAATATGCATTCATTAAAGACCCTTGAACATCGATGCTTACACCTCCTGTACCTTCCGATAAAGTTAAAGTATCGACCAATTCCAAACTTTTAGTATTCGCTTCAATATGTGAAATGGAAGTCCTTTCAAATGTATCTGTGATTGTGAATTCAAATACTAAATCTATATTGGGTTCTAATTGTTTTATCTTCAATTGTCTGAATATAATTAGATCATCTTTAGTAACATCAGTGTGTAATATATTAGAAAAGAATTGGTTATCAACATTCGATTTTTCAAATACTTTCAAAGACACGTCCATTGGTAACATTGTAGTTTCATTTTGAAGATCTCCGTATTTAACATTTGCAAAGGTGTATTCGATATCGGGAATCAATAGTATCAACTTATTATCATTTCGAATATCATATATGGGACCTTGGATGAATTTAGGTTTCTTTTCTTTATAATGTACATTCGCACTTACAAAACCTTCATGTACAAATTCCGAAACATTTGCGAAACGATGAATGAAGTCTTTATCATTGACATTGATTTTTTCAATAGGATGATTGATTACAACATTATCAATTTGTAAATCGGTAGTGGTAAAATCTAAATTGGCTTCAAACCGACTTGTTATATTGATATCTATATTTGAGCCTAGTTTGTAAAACGTCTTATCAAAACCTTCCTCAATTATCACGTTAATAATGACGGTGTGTTTTTGAATTTCCGTGTGATGTTTTTTATTCTGGTATTCTACATACGTAAAAACATTTAATATATTTCCGTCATCAAACAAATTTTTTGTTTCATTGATTTCTAAATTTGAGAAATAAAATGGTGTTTCGATTTCAATGGTCGTGTCACCGGGATACAATTGTTGTGACAGTCCATGCTCTATTAGATATTCCTTATCGATCGAATCAAATATGGTGGACAACGAATAGACGTTGAGAGTGTCATAATGTTCACCGACATGACCGGCGTCAACGACGTTACCAAGAATATGCACCGATGTACCTGTTATCTTATGCTCTTCCACACGTAAAGCTCCGCCGAATTCTAATATTGGTCTTAATGTTTTGAATGGTATCTGTTGATACTCCCCGAATCGAATTATTTTTAGTTCACCCATTGTAATCAAGGAGCTAGACGAATCATTAAACAATAAAGGATCTGGGAAGTTGAAATGTTCGATACTTGAAAATGGACCAATAGAGGGTACAAATGGCATTATGATTTGTTGCGAGGTGTCAATAGTGGTTCCGATATCTACTTGAATCTTTTTGAAACCGTATTTGGGAACTAATAC